AGTACCCTCAGTCCCAGCACCCGCAGGCTCAGTGCCCTCAGTCCCAGCACCCGCAGGCTCAGTACTCTCAGTCCCAGCACCCGCAGGCTCAGTACCCTCAGTCCCAGCACCCGCAGGCTCAGTGCCCTCAGTCCCAGCACCCGCAGGCTCAGGACCCTCAGTCTCAGCTCCAGTGTCCACTGCAGAAGGCTGCAGAGGCGGGAAACCGGAGGGGGTAGCCAAACGAGAGCAGTCACCCCCAGACGTACCACTCCCAGGCCCAGCTCCAGCAGCCTCAGCTCCAGATTCCGCAGCAGCAGGCTGCGGAGGTGGCGAAGACGGCCGAGGTGGGAAACCCGGGGGGGTCTCCAAGCGAGGAGTGCGGCGAGTGGTCACCGTGTCGTCGGCGGCGGTGTCACCCCCCTCACCTGGGTCAGAGGAGTCAGAAGATATCTCCACTGGCTCATCCAAGGGGGGTGGGTCTACCTGAGACACACCTGGAGGAGCAGGACCCTGTGGGGGAAGGGGGTCTCCCAGGGGGGGGGACTGGTACCAGGAAGAGAGGCGCGAGGGGGACCGGGTGGGACGCGTGTGGGTGAAGTCGGTAGTAACAGACCGACTCGTCGAAGGTGACGTCCTGAGAGGACAGAACACGACGCGAGGCAGGGTGGTAGAACTGCCAGGGTGGAGCGTCGGTGGTGAAGCCCAGGAAGACACAGCGGAGAGTGCGAGGAGACAGTTTGCTCGCTTTGGTATCGCGAACAAGGGAGAGCACGCCCCAGACCCGAAACGACGACACATCACCAGGCTGTCCCGTCCAACGGAGTGTGGGCGAGGTCTCTGGAGCAGAGACACGGGGCCAGAGGTTGAGCTGATGCGCGGCGTATCGGACCGCAAACGGCCACAGGAAATGGGGAGCAGCCGCATGGATCATGGAGGTACGAGCAGCCTCCATGATCAGGCCAATGCGACGCTCAGCGATCCCATTTTGCTGCGGAGAGGCCGGAAGCGTGAACGACTGGGTGATGCCCTCATCCTGGCAGAACGTCTCAAGGACGCTAGAGGAGAACTCACCACCCCTGTCAGAGTGCAGACGCAGGACTGGGAAGTCCTGCTGAAAGCGCTCGTGCAGCTGGAGACGAGTAGCACGGATCCAGGGGATCAAAACACTGCTGACGACCGCCTAGCGACGCAAGGGGAAGACTGTGGTGTAGCGTGTGTAGTCGTCAACAACCAGCAGGAAGTAGCGCTCCAGGTCCGTCCCACCGACGGGGGCCGGGCCCCACACGTCCAGGTGGAGAGTCTGCAGAGGAGCGGTGGTCGGAGGAAACTCGGAGGAGTGAGGAGCGGCGCGCTGCCGCCCCTCGACGCAAGGAAGGCACGGCGGGGCAAGCGAGCGCGGCAGTGGGGGCAGGGTCCTGGGGAGGCCAGAGACAAGGAGACGGGAGTGCATACTGCGTAGACGCTGCAGGGAGGGGTGACCAAGACAGTGGTGCCAGCGCTGAGTCTCGTGCGTGAGTACTCTGCACGAGCAAGACGCAGCTAACTGCCCCGACGCAGACACCCGACTCGACGCAGCCACCTGACCTGACTCAGCCACCTGTGCAGACGCAGTGGTCAGTGTGTACAGACTAGACCCAGGCTGTCGAGTGAACGTAGCCAAGTGACGGCCAGTCCGGGAGCACGTACAGATCGCCACACGCTGCCCTCCAGGAATAAATGTATCAACCCAGACATCCTGAATGGCAGCGTTGCTCACCAAGTTCGTCGAGAACGTGGGGAGGTGGAGACCTGACAGAGAGCCGGAGGGGACTGCTGGACAAGGGAGGACTGTGGAGGCTCTCGCAACTACAGGGCCCCCAGAGGGGTCAGCCAGTGAGACTGGGTCAGGTGCTGCGAGTGGTGTGACTGTGGTGCAATCACGAAAGAAGCAACGTGACGCATCTGAGTCAAGCGTGAAAGTGTGCAAGACCTCAGCTGAGGCAGGACCTGTGGCAGTAGACGCACTAGCACCTAGAGCGTCGGCAGACTCACGGGCACCTAGAGCTGCAGCAGACTCACCAGCACCTGGAGCAACAGCAGACTCACTAGAACCGAGAGCAGGAACCTCTACACAGCCAGGGACGCATCGCTGAGAAGCACAGTCGCGACGTCGCTTATGCCATGTATAACCAAAACCTCCACCACCAGGACCAGCTCGCTGAACAACCCACTCACGAAGCTGCTGAGGGGTGCGGTCGTCCGGAAGAGGCAGTGCCCGCTGCTGTCCACCCCTGGTCGCAGCAACTGCCGCGATAGTGGCCATGACAGACAGCGATGGTCAGGAGTAGGTCCTGCACCTCCAGCTCCTCCAGCACCAGCAACACCTCCAGCACTCCCAGTAGCACCTCCACCAGCAGCAGCAGTAGCACGAGTAGCAGCAGCAGCAGCTGTAGTTTTTTTTTTTTTTTTTTTTTTTTTTTTTTAGGGTTTAGGGTTGCGCGCGGCCCACGGGCTGCAGGGGCGACGCGCGGCTCAGCAGGGCGGCGCGCGGGATGCAGGGGCAGCGCCCACGGGCTGCAGGGGCGACGCGCAGCTCGGCAAGGCGGCGCGCGGGCTGTAGGGGCGGCGCGCGGCTCGGCAGGGCGGCGCCCAGGCTGCAGGGGCGACGCTCGGCTCGGCAGGGCTGCGCGCGGGCTGCAGGGGCAGCGCCCACGGGCTGCAGGGGCGATGTGCGGCTCCGCAGGGCGGCGTACGGGCTGCAGGGGCGACGCGCGGCTCTGCAGGGCGGCGTACGGGCTGCAGGGGTAACGCCCATGGGCTGCAGGGGCAACGCGCGGCTCAGCAGGGCGGCGCTCGGGCTGCAGGGGCAGTGCCCACGGGCTGCAGGGGCGACGCGCGGCTCTGCAGGGCGGCGTACGGGCGGCAGGGGCGACGCGCGGCTCTGCAAGGCGGCGTACGGGCTGCAGGGGCAGCGCCCACGGGCTGCAGGGGCAACCCGCGGCTCGGCAGGGCGGCGCGCGGGCTGCAGGGGCAGCTCCCACGGGCTGCAGGGGCGACGCGCGGCTCGGCAAGGCGGCTCGCGGGCTGCACAGGCAGCGCCCACGGGCTGCAGGGGCGAACGCGCGGGCTGCAAGGGCAGCACGCGGGCCACAGGGGCAGGCACGGCTGCAGGGGCAGCACGGTCGCAGGGGCAGGCACGGCTGCAGGGGCAGGCACGGCTGCAGGGGCAGCACGGTCGCAGGGGCAGGCACGGCTGCAGGGGCAGCACAGTCGCAGGGGCGAGTACGGCTGCAGGGGCAGCACGGTCGCAGGGGCGAGCACGGCTGCAGGGGCAGCGCGGTCGCAGGGGCAGCACGCGGGCTGCAAGGGCAGCGCGGCTGCAGGGGCAGCGTAGGAAGAAAAAAAAAATACGGTTAGGGCAGGGTGGAACGTTCGGTGGGCCCTAGGAACGATTCTGCTCTAATACCATGTTAGAATAAGCAAGAATGAATGAGTGAACTAGGCAAGAGGTGAGTACAAGTAGGGGAAACCTAACCCTAAAGTGTTGTACTCACTAAGGAGTGACCCTACTGTAGCCTAGCGATACAATTGTAATTTGACATGTACCTGCAGGAGTTACTGCAGGAAGCGAAAATTCCAACTTCGCCCACCTTTCGCCTTCACTGCGACAACCAAAGTGCCATCAAGATTGCGAACAAGCCAGGGTTCGTGAACCGCACGAAACACATCGCGCTTCGGTACCTTTTCGTCAAGGACGAAATTGACCAAGACAAGGTTGATCTCACGTACTGCCCCACCACCGAGATGGCAGCCGACTTTCTCACCAAGCGACTGCCACGTCAGCAGTACAAGCACTGTTCCGACCTCACCGGAGTAGTCAAGCGAGTCAGCCCCCTGCGCGCCCAGAAAATGAAGGGGAGTGTTACGATATGAAACTTTACGAGAAGGCATTCCTGTATGCTGCAGGGGCCGACTCTAAAGTGTATGAAGACGAGGAGTCAGAAGAGTCGAAGCGACACTGGTAACCGTCTGATCAAGACCGATGCAGGCAGAAACATTCGAAGCAGGCCTCTTGATATAAGGGTGAATCACCCTTATGACCCTTACTATAAGGGTGTGTTCTGATTCGGACCCTTACTTTACAAAGTGGATTAGGACCCTGATATTTCAGAGTGAAGTGGTGTAGTCGCACTGATCGGGAACATACATCCTCGTCAAAAAGTAGAGAATTAGCTCGAAGAACCGAATCCCAAGGGTAATATACCTGCCAAATGCCTCCCACAAGTATCGATTCCGCGTCCCTTTCACTATAAGACCCACTGTGCTAAGTTGTCACGCCAAAGTCCACTAGCTAAATATCATGAACAGTTCTAGTTTGGTTTAAACCCTTACAAAAAAGAGTGGTGCTTGCCTGGTACCCTTACAGAAAGAGTGAAAGCAGCTGGTTACCCTTATGAGAAAGACTGGTTCAAATCCTATCCAGAGGCCTGATTCGAAGTGAAAAGAGCGGGAACAGATTTGAAACGGGTTCCCGCGCCGCACGGTTTGAACTTCGCTGTAATAAGGGAATGTTACCCTTAGAGTACATGGCTAGTCTAGGTCGTTTCGTATTCCTTTGTATTTCCTATATAAACTAAATGTATGCATGCTATTATCAATCTCAGTCATTTACATTCACTCTGAACTGAGTTCTCTACTTCCGTTGCAACACTACCTTGCGATCAACCCTGAGCGATCCTTTGCTAAGTCCCACTTGGGATTGTAACAAAAATGGCTAGCAAGCCAACCTCCAACAGTATCTACAGAAACTAGATCTTATGACTTACTAATTTGTGCTTGACATTGATTGATGGCCTTGAAGTTAATTACAGGAGCCATTTCATAGAGGTAGATTGAAGCATGACGGAGGTGATGATCAAGTGCTTTTATAATTCAGATCGAAGTTTCAAAACCACGACTTAGCTGCAGCAGAGCTGGATAATTAGTTCATAAACAAATTTCCGTACATACAGCCAGTCTACGTGGATAATAGCTTCCTCTCACTGCAGCGCGGAAACTTTCTTCCAGGCAGGGCGAGAGGAAATCCTCTCCCACCACGCATTCACATTTGGACGCGAAGTAATGAGATCCGAATCCCCTGACACCCACAGCAGAGCCGTGTAGGGCAGGTGTGACAGATCCGCCAGTGAGAAATTGGACCCCGCCAGGTACTCGTTGCTCGCCAGATGGGCTTCGTACACATCGAGAACCTTTGAGAGCTGCGGGAATTAGTGGAATTACGGAAGAGAAGGCGGAAAGTGGACAGAGAAAGATTGTTTGAACAACATTCTCACTACAAAGGGCTGCTTTCTTCCGCCGAATAGAACCAGAAAGAGGACAGAAATAGGTTGCTTGACTGTTCTCGTCACTTACCTTCGCCTTGAGCTCTTCTGCCTTGGCCAGGTCGGGCTCGCCCCCACCGAACATGGGCTTGAACACTTTCTCCGAGATCAGTGCTGAGAGAGGCGGGTTGTAGTTATGCGCCTCCACCTCCAACCACTGGTTCACCAGCGCACGCTCCTGCAGGACACGGTAACACACAGCAGACGCCACTTAAAAGAGCTTCTTGAGAAATGTCAAGCATCTACCATGTAAAATTCTAAGCCTAAACCTCCATCCCCTGATTCACCAGCGGATGTTCTTGCACGGCAACACTCAGGTATGTAATTCCTTAGTTGAATCAACCGACACGCCTGGAGGCGGTCTACTATCACCGCTGGTAGCAACTAGCAGGCGTCCGGGACCGGATGGTGGTGTTTCAGCGGGCTAAAGAGTGGATGAGTGAATACCTTGAGCGTGGAGCCGAGAAGGTCGGTGCCTTGGCCGGAATTCTTCTCAGCGATGTAACGAGCGATGGCGCGCGATTCTGGTTACACCATGGGGAAAGCCATTCAGGTGAACACAGTGATTTGAGCAAAGATTTAGTATAGATGTGAAAAATAGAAAGAGGGACAACTGAGAAGGAAAACCAAAAGGGAAAATGTATAGGGCTGAATAGACGGTGGAAAGAAACGGTGAAATTGCAAACGTACCGAAGACCTGAACCTCCCCGTCATCGAAATAGGGAATCACTCCAAAGGGCTGCGCGGAAACAGGGCCAAGGAGAGAAACGCACGGAGGCAAAATCAGGCCACATGTTGAGGATTCCAAGGGTCGCGTGGATGGTGAGAAACAAGCTGAATCCGACGCTGTTGTGCAGTGCAAACGGAAGGACACCACGGTGGCATTTGGGTGATAGCAAAAAAGAATTTGCATTTGCATTTGTGCAAAATTTCATAATGGAAATGTTGAATCTCGCCCACCTGCTTCTTCTTGAACTCTTCCGACTTGTGCTCTCCTTTCCCGAGATCCACTGGGACAACCTCGTAGTCCTGAGGAAAGGAAGAATAATGAATTGCTTGACTATCAGATTAAGAAAAGGAAGGCAGCTGAAACGACATCAGCTCGGAAAAAGAAACTTAGGTTCCGTAATAACTACCCAATTCGTACCGTAACAGCCTTCTCCTCGAGAGTGGTGAGCACCCTCTTGGTGCAAGTCGACATGTTCACGCCGTAGACCTTGACTGGAGCCATAGCGGCGAGAGCGGTGGTCACGGAGGTACTAAAGTATGCAGAACGATGCGAGAATGGAGACTAGGCAGAAGGGAAGCTACTCTTGAAAGCTTGTCAGACGCTTGACTGCGGATCATAGCCGCCATGGCGCTGTAAATACCCCCAGCTGCTAGGTACACGCGCTCCGGGCTTGACATGGATTGAATACCAAGCGGAGTAAGCAGGAAATAAACTCAAACGTTGGAATTTAGAAGGTTCCGGAAAGAAACTCCGGCTGCTTCGACGACGCTTCTGCCTGCTGACAAAGGCAAGCCTGTGTGAAGGACACCTGTGCGAACATATCTGCGTTGCACACCAGTGCGAAGGACATTTTTGCGAAGAATATTTGAGCGAAGGCGAAGGAAGGAAGTCGAACCTTCAGGGAAGGCACAGAGCCTTCCACGAATCTGCGACATTCGCGACCCCACATGACGTCAGGACTCGTTTCGCTCGCAGTCATCAGAACCGCGGTCGCAAGTACGGACGGTTACGTACGTTGTAGTGCAATACTGAGTGGTTCAAATACTCCATACAAGCTAACTCTGTGTTCAACTCGCCTGCCTTTTTTTTCTCCAAGATGTAACAATGGTAAGCTTGTATGGAGATTCGACAGCGACGTTCGTACAGAAGTGCTAGTTCGGGGTGACTGCGAAGTGCTTCTGGTCTTCCTTTTCGCGCTCTCTCATTGGCCTTCGAAATTTTCGCCATGTTCGCCAGCAAATGCTGAGCAGCACACGAACCGCCACTGTCACTCGCGGCAGCCGAAAACTTGACAGCGCGACGTTGTTAGAAACCACGTGGCGCTGACTCATCAGCTGCAGGAAAGAGCACCACCACCAGTAGCAGCTGAGCCAGCGCGATACAGTACAGTATCCAGGGTTGCAGTGCGGTAGCTCTAGCAGCACAGCAAGCGTAATTCAGTATCGAGTGCTGCAGACCAGACCAGCTCATAGCAGCGCGCGGACCAGCTGCCGCATCTCCCGCAGTTCAACCCCGCTAATTAGCCTACTAATCCGCGCATTCAACCAACCATTTCCGCCCTCCAGTCCATCAGTCCGCTCTCCTCTCTCCGCCTTCCGCTCTCCGCCTTCCGCTCTCCGCCTTCCGCACTTCGCTCTCCGCCTTCCACTTTCCGCCCTCCGCCTTCCGCCGTCCCCCCTCCGCTGTCAGCGAGAGATGGCCACGCTTCTGCGTCGCGTCGCGGGCGATTTTAGACGGAGTAGCGGCGCGTCTGGCGCCGTGAATCGCGCTGCCGGGTCGTTCCAGAGCGGTTTTGCCGCGCATCCACGCAGTCTCCTAGATGTCCTCGCGCTTCGATGGGTTAGTCACATAGTAGACGCTTTCGGCGGTAGACCGCATCTGGCGGAACCCGTTATTGTAAAGCTGTTTCGCAATATATACGTTCTCTGATGGGCACGCTATATGGCCGAACTTTAGTGTCTGCACTCCCGCGCCACCAGCGCCTTTTTTTTTTTCCATGCTTAGCTTCATTACTTGTTGGTTCACTCGTTGATCTCCCTCACGCGGTAACAACGTCGCCGCCACGTCACTCAAAGCCCCGTTTCCTGCCGCCTGTTTCTCAGGCGCTTCACTCAAAGCCGCGTTCCCCGTTCTCGGCGTGTTTTCTGAGCACCCAGCCCAACCCCCCTAATCCCCGCCTGGCCCGCCGATTCTCTGCCCCACCGCTCCCCGCCCTTCGCAGCTCCCGTTTCGCCCCGTTTCCACTTCCCCCTTTTCCCCTTTCCCTTCTTTCTCCCGTCCACTACAGGCCAGCACGCTGGTACTGGCGGAGCACACGGGGAGGGGCGCGGGGGGCTCCGCCGCGGCCTTAAAACTGCCCACGCTCTCCGCGGTGGCGGCTGCACGGAAGCTGGGCGGACCAGTGGCGGTGCTGGTGGCGGGCAGTGGCGACGCGGTTGCTGACGTGGCAGCTGCTGTGGCGAAGATCGAAGGGGTGGATGAGGTGGGTGAATAGCATTGATCGAATAAACGATGTTTACAGTTCAGAAAACGTGCCCAAAACCAGTAAACATTGAGTTGACAAAAACAAAGCAGAGTTAACAAAAAAAAAAAAAAAAAAAAAAAAAAAAAAAAAAAAAAAAAAACACATACATTTGGCTGACAGAATTGAACAACCTACTCTGCCCTTCCCTCAGAACCTTTGCACCCTATCTCCACCTGACTCCGTTGTCATTTTCTCAGGTGATTACAACAGAGAGCCCCGCCCTGGACCACACCCTGCCCGAGCCCCTGGCGGCGCTACTGACAAACCTCGCCGCCCAGCGGTCCTTCTCGCACGTGCTTGCCGCCTCGTCCACCTTCTCCCGTAACGTGCTGCCACGTGTCGCCGCGCTATTGGACGCTGCGATGGTGTCTGACGTGGTTGAAATCGTGGATGAGACGACCTTTGTGCGGTGAGGAGAGGGGGAGGAAGGGGGGAGGGGAAGGGGAGGGGAGGGGTGGGGAGGGAAGAAGGGTAGTGATGATGTGCAAAAAAAACGTTTGTTGGCGAGAGTTTACACGGGAGCATGAGTGAATGGACGCTGCGATGGTGTCTGATGTGGTTGAAATCATGGATGAGACGACCTTTGTGCGGTGAGGAGGAAGGTTGGGAGGGGAATGGAGGGTAATGATGGGGAGGGAGGAAGGGGAGGGAAATGCGGAGGAGGGGGAGTGGGAGGGGAGGGGCGGGAAAGATGTGCAAGAAAGGGTTCGATGGAGAGGTTCAACGGGGGCATGAGTGGAGTTGACGCTATGATGGTGTCAGATGTGGATGAGACGTCCTTCGTGTGCTGAGGGGGGGGGAAGGGGGGAGGGGAGGGCGAGGTGCGGTGAGAGTAAGGGAGAGGGAGGGGTGTGGCAGTGAGGGGAGGTGGGGAGGGCGGTGGTGCGTTTCTTTAGGCGTGTCAAGATGAGGTGACTGACGTGGTTGAAATCGTGGATGAGAATACCTTTGTGCGGTGAGGAGGTGGGGGAAGGGGGGGTGCGGTGAGTGGAGGGGAAGGGAGGGGAGGAAGGAGTGCGGTGAGGGGAGGGGAGGGAGGGGCGCTACTAAGTAAGAAGAGTTTGGTGGAGCGAGTTCAGAGGGTTGTGCGTGAGTGCAAGCGTGCGTGTGTGTGTGTTTGCTAGCGTGTGTGCGTGCTTGCGTGCGTGCGTCCGTGTGTGTGTGAGTGCGTTCTCGTCCCACTTTCGCTCGTATTCCCCTCCGCTTCGCCCCCTTCCCCCCAAGTCCAATCTCCGCTGGAAACTCTCTAACCACAGTGCGCTGCTCCACACCCATTTTCCTCCCCCTCCCTCATCCCTTCTTCTGTCTTCCGTGCTTGCCCCATCCTTCCTTTTCCCCTCCAGTCCAATCTACGCAGGGAATGCTCTAGCCACAGTGCGCTGCTCCACCCACTGTGCCGTCCCAACGCTGCTCACTGCCGGCTCTGTCTCCTTCCCTCCCTGCTGCCTCCTTTCTTCCCCCTTCCCCCACTGTCGCAACCCCACAGTCCAATCTACGCAGGGAATGCTCTAGCCACAGTGCGCTGCTCCACCCCTTCCCCCACCACCCCAACGCTGCTCACAGTCCGAGCCACCTCCTTCCCGGCCGCTTCCTCCCCCTCTTCAGCCCCTTCTGCCCCCAAGACCACGCCGTTTGACTTCCAAGGTAAGCTCTTGCCACACACAGTGCGCTGCTCCAACCCCTCCCCCGCCATCCCAACGCTCCTCACTGTCCGCGCCACCTACTTCCCTGCCGTCTCCTCCTCGTCCTCCTTGTCTCCCTCTGCCCCCAAGACCACGCCTTTTGACTTCCAAGGTACGCTCTGCCCCACTCCTCACCTGCTCCTTGCTCTGCCATGGACCATGTTGTCACTTGTGCTGAGCTGCATGCACTTGCCCCGCTCCTCACTTGCCCCGCTCCCCACTTGCCCCGCTCCCCACTTGCCCCGCTCCGCACTTGCCCCGCTCCTCACTTGCCCCGCTCCTCACTTGCCCCGCTCCTCACTTGCCCCGCTCCTCACTTGCCCCGCTCCTCACTTGCCCCGCTCCTCACTTGCCCCGCTCCTCACTTGCCCCGCTCCTCACTTGCCCCGCTCCTCACTTGCCCCACTCCTTACTTGCCCCACTTCTCACCTGCCCCACTCCTCACCTGCCCCTCTCCTCACCTGCCCCACTCCTCACCTGCCCCCTCTCCTCACCTGCCCCACTCCTCACCTGCCCCCTCTCCTTACCTGCCTCCTCTCCTCACCTGCCCCCTCTCCTCACCTGCCCCACTCCTCACCTGCCCCTCTCCTCACCTGCCCCACTCCTCACCTGCCCCCTCTCCTCACCTGCCCCACTCCTCACCTGCCCCCTCTCCTCACCTGCCTCCTCTCCTCACCTGCCCCCTCTCCTCACCTGCCCCACTCCTCACCTGCCCCTCTCCTCACCTGCCCCCTCTCCTCACTTGCCCCGCTCCTCACTTGCCCCGCTCCTCACTTGCCCCACTCCTTACTTGCCCCACTTCTCACCTGCCCCACTCCTCACCTGCCCCTCTCCTCACCTGCCCCACTCCTCACCTGCCCCCTCTCCTCACCTGCCCCACTCCTCACCTGCCCCCTCTCCTCACCTGCCTCCTCTCCTCACCTGCCCCCTCTCCTCACCTGCCCCACTCCTCACCTGCCCCTCTCCTCACCTGCCCCACTCCTCACCTGCCCCCTCTCCTCACCTGCCCCCTCTCCTCACTTGCCCCGCTCCTCACTTGCCCCGCTCCTCACTTGCCCCACTCCTTACTTGCCCCACTTCTCACCTGCCCCACTCCTCACCTGCCCCTCTCCTCACCTGCCCCACTCCTCACCTGCCCCCTCTCCTCACCTGCCCCACTCCTCACCTGCCCCCTCTCCTCACCTGCCCCACTCCTCACCTGCCGCCTCTCCTCACCTGCCCCCTCTCCTCACCTGCCCCACTTCCAGTCCCACCCCTTACCCTGCCAACTCAACACTGCACGTCCTTCCATTCCAGCCCTTCCTCCTCCTGCCCCTTCCCCCCTCTCCCTTCTTTCTTCCCCCTTCTTTCCCCCCATGATCCCAGCCCCCGCAGCCGAAAACTCCTCCTGGGTCGGGCAGGAGTTGCGGGCAGCTGACCGGCCGGACCTGGGCAGCTCAAAAGTTGTGATTGCGGGCGGGCGGGGGCTGAAGAGCGAAGAGAATTTCAAGCTGCTGGAACAACTAGCAGATAAACTGGGAGGGGCAGGTGAGGTTTGAAATCACATGCTGAACGAACTAAGGGCGTACCTCAGTGTCTCAGTCACTGAGGGCGTATTTCAGTTTGTGTCAAGGACATATTCCGGCGGGAGTGCAGTGCAGCATGGTGTAAGCAAGCAGAGAGTGAAGAGAATATCAATAGCAGACAAACTGGGAGGGGCAGGTGAGGGCTGGAATCACATGCTTGACGAAGTAAGAAATGTACCGGCTGGAGTGCAGTGCAGCATGGTGTAAGCAAGCAGAGTGACTGGAATCCAAAGCAAACAAGCAAAGTAGGATTGACCGAGAATTCCAAGCTGCTGGAACAGCTAACAGACAAACTGGGAGGGGCAGGTGAGGGTTCGAATCACATGCTGGACAAACTAGGAAATATTTTCACCGAATGAACTGCACCAAGTAGGTGGAACGAACTGGGCAGGTGAGGGTTAAAATAAAGGGCTGACCGACACAGGTGAATTTCGTATTGCTCTATGTGAAAGCATGTTGGTACCACGTTCTTGCGCTTTGCTCAGTGTCCATCCGTTCCGACTCATTCCTTCACTCTCACCAATCAATCCCTCTTGCCTAATCGTCTGTATCATACTGTGCCTTGCACTTCCCCCTCCCACTTTCTATCATTCTTCCTCTGGCCAGTGGGTGCTTCCCGGGCAGCTGTGGATGCAGGTTACGTAGCCAACGACCTGCAAGTCGGGCAGACCGGAAAAATCGTCGCGCCAGACCTCTACATGGCTTTTGGGATTTCGGGCGCGATTCAGCATCTGGCGGGCATGAAAGATTCCAAGACGATCGTGGCCGTTAACAAGGATCCAGATGCTCCCATCTTCCAGGTAACAACTCAAAGCACTCTGTTTTTTCTCTCCCCCAATTGAAGCCGAAGCACACGCTACAGTCCGTTTTTTTGGCGATTCCAAAACGATCGTGGCCGTTAACACTGATCCTGATGCTCCCATCTTCCAGGTCGCAGATTACGGGCTGGTGGGCGATTTGTTTCACGTGCTGCCCGAGCTCCTTGAGAAAATTCCTGCCAAGGCTTAAAGCCAGCAGGCAAAATAGTGACCCCCCCCCTTCAAGTTGGGTCCACTTGAAGATGAAGTATTTTTGTTTTGTTTTGGAATGTTGGAATTGCTGTATGTGTGCTTTTTTTTTCGACCCTCGGACGAGTTTCTTATTGGACCAGGAACGATAGTTCATTGTCAATTCTGATTGGCAGCCAGGTTCTCTCACATGTACATGTGCGAATTTGGCGCAAAGTTGAGCGACGAGCACTCCTGCATTCACTAGAGCCAATACTTCACCAAATTCACAACTAGCAACATCTCACGCTAAATCCCAAGCAGACACACATGTACGTGATGAGAGTGAAAGTGTTTGAACGTTATTAGAGCTAGTAGAGCTCTGATCAATGTGCTGCCTTGGACTTGAGGCCTGGGAGAGGTGCAATAACGGGAAACAGAAGAGAAAAACAGCACTAGGGGGGAAATTATGATGGGCAAGGTGACGCGAATGAAGAGAAAGAGGGAGGGCGACGGGAAACGGGAGGGCGACGGGAAGGGAGGGCGTAGGAAACGGGAGGGCGACGGAAGAAGGGGGGCGACGGGAAACGGGAGGGCGACGGGAAACGGGAGGGCGACGGGAAACGCGAGGGCGACGGGAAACGGGAGGGCGACGGGAAACGGGAGGGCGACGGAAAACGGGAGGGCGACGGGAAACGGGAGGGCGACGGGAAACGCGAGGGCGACGGGAAAAGGGAGGGCGACGGAAGAAGGGAGGGCGACGGGAAACGGGAGGGCGACGGGAAACCGGAGGGCGACGGGAAACGCGAGGGCGACGGGAAACGGGAGGGCGACGGGAAAAGGGAGGGCGACGGGAAACGGGAGGGGGGCGGGAAACGGGAGGGCGACGGGAAACGGGAGGGCGACGGGAGAGAGGATAGGCGGCGGGAGAGAGGGTGTCGAGAATAGATGGAAAGACAGAAAAAACAAACAAACCAAACACAATAACAGAGTACGGAATGGGTCACGCTGACGCGATAGCAGAGGGAGAACGAGAGAGGCGACGGAGAAAGGAGGGCATACGTGATGGGAGAGTCGAAGGTCGCCGGGAGGGCCATTCGAGGCGAGCGAGAAGGGAGGATGGGAAGGGAGCAGAAAGAGAGAGGGCAATGGGAAGGGAGCGGAGAGAGAGAGCGCGACGAGAAGGGAGCGGAGAGAGAGCGCGATTCGAAGGGAGGAGCGAGAGAGAGGGCGGAGCGGAGAGAGAGAACGCGATGGGAAGGGAGGGGCGAGAGAGAGGGCGACGGGAAGGGCGCGGAGAGAGAGAGCGCGACGGGTAGGAGGGGCGAGAGAGAGGGCGACGGGAAGGGAGCGGAGAGAGAGATCGCGACGGGAAGGGAGGGGCGAGAGAGAGGGCGATGGGAAGGGAGCGGAGAGAGAGAGCGCGACGGGAAGGGAGGGGCGAGAGAGAGGGCGACGGGAAGGGAGCGGAGAGAGAGAGCGCGACGGGAAGGGAGGGGCGAGAGAGAGGGCGAGGGGAAGGGAGCGGAGAGAGAGAGCGCGACGGGAAGGGAGCGGAGAGAGAGGCCGACGGGAAGGGAGCGGAGAGAGAGCGCGATTCGAAGGAGGAGCGAGAGAGAGGGCGGAGCGGAGAGAGAGAGAGCGATGGGAAGGGAGGGGCGAGAGAGAGGGCGACGGGAAGGGCGCGGAGAGAGAGAGCGCGACGGGAAGGGAGGGGCGAGAGAGAGGGCGACGGGAAGGGAGCGGAGAGAGAGAGCGCGACGGGGCGAGCGACGGGAGGGCGATCGGTAGGGAGGGGCGAGAGAGAGGCCGACGGGAGGAGAGGAGGGGAGAGAGGGCGACGAAGAGGGCGACGGGACGGGCGACGAGATGGCGACGTGACGCGCGACGGAAAGGGAGACGGGTGGGCGATTTGGCGAACTCGAGGATAGCATAGTGGGCGATGAGAGGGGTGAGAGGAATGGCGACGGGAATGGGGTTCTCTGTGATCGCGAGGAAAATATCACTACGCAGCAACGGCGACGAAGTATCACAAACAATCTAATGATAATTTCATTTCTATGCCGCATCAGCCTAATCCCTCGTCTCTGGCTATTCTATGCTAGGCAAGCTCCGTGAGTTAGGCAAGCTACGTGAATGGAGTTGAAGTAAGCATATGTGGAACCCAGGCCCAGCTTGAAAGTCGAAGTCGGGTCCAACCATCAAAACGCACGACAAACAACTGTCGTGCAAATGTCGCATGCAGAAAATGCGAACGCGCGAGCACGATCTGATTTTTTTTTTTGGCGGGAACGAATCACGTGTGTGCAGTCTGTGGAAGGGCGATGCCCGGAACAGTGTTTTACACAGCCCATCGTCGTTCCAGTTTTGCTTCTTCCGAGCACGATTTCAAGTTGGATCCGCCTTCACTATTTTATATTTCGGTTTTAAAAGCGGAGCGCTTGCTCAGCAAGGCACAATAGAAGCCTAATATATTTTCTTCTTTGGAGACTTCATTTTTCTTATGGAGGAATCTTTACTATTTCTATCCTGTTAGTGCCAGAGTATTTTGTCCAAATGAAAAGTAGCATACTCCTACCCTTCAGACAACACTGCAGGATATGAAAGCCCTCCAACACCATTAGAGGGGAGGGGATGGCACATTGCAACGCAACTGCTGGAGGAGCCAAGCCGTCGAGCCCTTTGAATGTGAACGGTGCAACGCGGTGCTCACCGGTACCACCAGCCGAGATGGTGAAACGGCTGGAAACCAATGACGGACCACAAAAACCCAAGGCCTTGAGGCTGGAAATACGTGCTGTTGTGCTGCTGTATGCTGCTGTTGTTGCTGATGGCTTCAACCTGTGTGCTGCTCCAAACATCCCCACCAGATGGATTCTTTAGAATTATCATAGAAACCCAAGGGCTTGAGTCTGGAAATATGTGCTCCTGCTGTGCTGCTGTATGCTGCTGTGTGCTGCTGTGCTACTGTATGCTGCTGTGTGCTGCTGTGCTACTGTATGCTGCTGTGTGCTGCTGTGCTACTGTATGCTGCTGCTGCTGACCTGATTGCTGTTGCTTGACGGAGCACAGATTGCTCCACCCTGTGTGCTACTCCAAACATCCCCACCAGCTGCTGCTGCTGCTAATCCTCTGCTTCCTGATGCCTGCTGCTCTGCTGCACTGCTGCTCTGCTGCTCTGCTGCCCTGCTGCCCTGCTGCTCTGCTGCCCTGCTGCCCTGCTGCCCTGCTGCCCTGCTGCGCTATTGTATTAGCATTCTATCCTGCTGCTCTGCTATCCTGCTGCTCTGCTACCCTGCTCTGCTGTTTTAGACTGCCGCTCGTGCCTCCATTCCCTCCGCACCTCCTTTCCCCAGATCATATCTGCATTCGGACCACATTCCCTCCTCCCCCTCTCCCCCGCATTCCCTCCTCCCCGCTCCCCCTCATCCCCACTCCCTCCAGTCAAAGCGGAATCTAACGGAGGCGTCTCCAAAAAGAGATGCTTTGGAAGACTCTCAGAACTCCAAGCACTCTGCTTTCGACACATCTCTTCCTCGACTGAAGTCCAAGCATGCGCCACAGTCCACTCTGCTCACATCTTCTCTCTTCGTGAAAGAATTGAATGAACCCCTTGGGGTACGGCACGATCAGCTCTCTCAACCCCCACATGCTCCTCTTACTGAACGGCCGTGCCGCCACCCCAAACCACCTCTCCTTTCCTCCTCACCACTCACAAACACATCTCCTTCTCCTCCTCCTACGCCGCATCTCATCTCCTCCCTTCTCCTCCCCCGGGCGTCCAGGCCGAAGCACCCAGAATGGACTTGCCGTTCCACAACAACCGCACACCCCCCTGTGGATGCCTTTCCACCCCAAACCCTATAGGGTACGGCGGGATCAGCTCTCTCAACCCCCACATGCTCCTCTTACTGAACGCCCGTGCCACCACCCCCAGCCGCCCCATCCGCACATGCATCTGGTCCAAACTCTCCGCTCTCACCAGCCTCTGCATGCCCTCGCACGCTACCAGGTTCACCATTTCCCGTGCGAGAACAAACTCCTCTCATCTCCTCCCTTCTCCCCCTGCTGAAGTCCAAGCAGAGGCGCCCAGAATCGACTTCCCATTCCACAGCAGCCGCACACCCCCCTGGGGATGCCTTTCCACCGCAAACCCTTTAGGGTACGGCGCGATCAGCTCTCGCAACCCCCACATGCTCCTCTTGCTGAACGGCCGTGCCACCACCCCCAGCCGCCCCATCCGCACATGCATCTGGTCCAAACTCTCCGCTCTCACCAGCCTCTGCATGCCCTCGCACGCTACCAGGTTCACCATTTCCCGTGCGAGAACAAACTCCTCGAATCCGCGGCGGCCGAAGGAGAAGCGGGAGGCAAGGGCATCGTGGGAGGAGAAGACGTTGAGGAAGAAGAGGAGGGCGTCTTTGAAGCGATGGAGGAAGAAGGGCTGTTGCTGGTTGGAGTCCCACTCGACCAGAGAAACGACCTTTGGGTCTAGCTGCATTATCGCCTGGGGGAGAAAGGGGGGAGGGAGGAGGGAAGTGGACAGGGAAGAGTGAGAATGGCAGTGCGTGGCATATGGAGAGAGGCAAGGGCATCGTGGGAGGCGAAGATGTTGTGGAAGAAGAGAAGGGCGTCTTTGAAGCGAGAAAGGAAGAAGGGCTGCTGATGATTGGAGTCCCACTCTACCAGAGAAACGACCTTTGGGTCTAGCTGCATTATCGCCTGGAAGTGCGTAGAAGGGAGGGGGAAGGGAGCAGGGGAGGGGACGGGAGGGGGAGCAATGGGGGAATTTTGAGGGGAATATAGAGGGCATGCGGTGGTGTATGCAGAGAGGCGAGGGCATCGTGGGAGGCGAAGATGTTGTGGAAGAAGAGAAGGGCGTCTTTGAGGCGAGAAAGGAAGAAGGGCTGCTGATGATTGGAGTCCCACTCTACCAGAGAAACGACCTTTGGGTCTAGCTGCATGATCGCCTGGAGAAAGGGGAGCACATGGGCGGGGGAACATGGGAGAGAGCACCTTCACTGCTGTATCCTTCGGGCTATGCCTCAGCACTGTAGAGTCTGCCACACACGCCAGCCGCCCAGCCACATTCACCAGCAAGGAGCAGGGCTCACAGCTCGTTCCCATCCCCATCCTCGTCCCATTGCCTCTCACCCTCACGGCTCCCTCGTACCTTCACTGCGGTATCCTTAGGGCTGTGTCGGAGCACTGTGGAGTCTGCCACACAAGCCAGCCGCCCAGCAATATTCACCAGCACACACTCCCCGCGCTCCACTCCAATCGCCGCCGCCCGCAGCGTCTCCGGCGCCGCCTCGACCCGGGAAAAGGACAAGCTCACGCCACACTCCTGCGCCGCCCGCGCCAGCTCAGCCTGCAGGAAAGCCGCAGGAAGCTTCGGGCCGGTCCCGTAGGGATGACCAAAGGGCGGGTCTACAGCTGTGAATCGGATTCGGAGGAAGGAGGGAGGGATGGGAGAGGGAGCGGAGGTGGACGGACCTTGCGGGGGTGTGGGTGAAGGGGAGGAAGAGGGGGAGCGGGAGTGGTGGGTGGAGGAAGGTTGGGAAGGCGAGGGGTGGGAGGGAGAGGAGAAGGCAGATGATGATGGGGAGCCGTGGCTAGCGGTAGCAGCGGTATTGATACCAATGCCTATGCCGCCACCGATGCCGCCGCTGCTGCTGCTGCTGTTAAGGCTGTGGATGGTGACGGCTGCCGCGGCCATTCTTTTCCGGGCAGCGGCTGCCAGCTGGCGGATGACAATTGGCCACTGGCCTGCCCACATGGCGAAGTCGACAATGTGAATGTTGGTCTCATCCTCTGCTGCGTCCTGTGGAGAGAGAGAGAAGGAGAGGTGTGGTGGGGAGAGGGAGAAAAGGGGGGGGGGGGGGGAGAGGATGTGGGTGGCCTGCCTACATGGCAAAGTCGACAATGTGTATGTTGGTCTCATCCTCTGCTGCGTCCTGTGGAGAGAGAGGGGTTGAGAAGAAGTAGGGCAAGAAGGGGAGGGAGGAGAGGAAGGGGAGAATGCGGGAGTTGGGCACTAAAGGTGAAGTCGACTATGTGAATGTTGGTCTCGTCCTCTGCTGCGTCCTGTGGAGAGAAAGGGGTTGAGAAGAAAGGGGACAAGGAGCGGTGGGGGGGTGTGGGGGGGGAGAGAGGTGTTGCACTAATGCCCACATGGTGAAGTCGACGATGTGGGTGGTGAGCTCATCCTTTGCCGCGACCTGTGGAGAGAGAGGGGTGGGGGAGGGGAGGAGAATGAGGGGGTAGGGATGGGTGGGTGGAGGAAGAGTGAATGGAGGATTTGAACGAACGGCGAACCAGCAGTATGGCACATTCCTTGCCACCACTCTGCACGACTTACCAGCATTCTGCAGCACCCACAAGCCTTCTTCACTCCCTACCACCACTCTACATTCCCCACCACCATTCTGCACGCCTCACCACCACTCTGCAAGCCTCACCACCACTTTGCACGCCTCACCAGCATGGCACAGGCCAGGGCGGAGTAGCAGAACTGCAGCGTGGGGCAGTGCGCTGCAAAGGCCAGGATCAACGCCTCCTCCTGCGGTGGAGAGGGGTGAAGTGGATTGGAGAGGGTTGGAGGGATGAAGAGTGATGGAAAAGGTTGGAGAGGGAAGGAATAGGCAATGTAATCGGTTCCCAGGGCGCCAGCAGCTGTCTTGGCGAGAGCAGTGAGCAGGTAGTTTGAGATAGCAGCAGCAGCAGCAGCAGCAGCAGCAGCAGCAGCAGCAGCAGCTGTCCCCTTGAACACCAACACCATCTCACTGCTATCTCACCTCAGGTGCCCGGGTCAGATAGGCAATGTAGTCCGTCCCCAGGGCGCCTGCAGCCCTCTTGGAAAGGGCCGTGAGGAGGTAGTGTGAAACAGAGGCCGTAGCAGCAGCAGCAGCAGCTCTTCAGCAGCATTCATACCACCATCTCACCTCGGGCGCGCGGCTGAGATACGCGATGTAGTCCGTTCCCAGGGCGCCTGCAGCCCTCTTGGCGAGGGCAGTGAGGAGGTAGTGTGAGACGCGCTGCATGGGCGTTCCATAGGGGGAGGAGAGCGGGCGCAGGCACCTGGTGAGGCTGACCATGCGTGGCTGTAGGAGGAAGGCACAAGGGGATGGGCACAGGGAGAGGGAGAGGCAGGCGGGCAGTGAGCAGGCAGTGAGGAGGTAGTGGGAGACACGCTGCATGGGCGTGCCGTAGGGGGAGGAGAGCGGGCGCAGACGCCTGGTGAGAGACACCATTTGCGGCTATAGTGGAGGGAAGAGAGGGGAGGGAGGGGCAGAGGGAGAGGGGGACGCAGGCAATGAGGAGGTAGTGGGGGACGCGCGGCATGTGCTAGCTGTAGGGCGAGGAGAGCGGACACCAAAGCGAGTGAGGCTGACCATCCGTGGCTGTGGTTGGGGAAACGGGAAGGCAGAAATTGGGAAGGGGACCGGGAGAGGGGTGGCAGGCAATGAGCAGGTAGTGCACGATTCGTATCACGCACCACTCACTCACTCACTCACACTCTTTTACTCACCCTCTCACTCCCTCACTCATATCAAACTCACCTGGTCGCCCGTGGCCACGGCTTCAGCCAGCTGAAGCAGGTCCTATTGCAACCCCTCATCAGACACCCTCCCACTCGCCAAGTCCCGCACACTCTCCGTGTCACCAAACTCACTCACTGCCCTCTCTCACTCTCACTTTCTCTCCCTCACCCAAACCTCACCTGGTCGCCCGTGGCCACGGCTTCAGCCAGCTGAAGCAGGTCCTGCTGTAACCCCTCATCAGAAACCCTCCCACTGGCCAAGTCCCGCACACTCTCCGTGTCACCAAACTCACTCACTGCCCTCGGCACCGCCTCTACCCTCTGCTGCTGCTGCTGCTCTAACACTCTCGGTTGAATCAATCTCTGCTGCTGCTGCTCCATCACTCTCGGTTGTATCACTCTCTGCTGAATCACTCTTGGTTGGTGGTTCTGTTTCGGCTGAATTGGCCTCAGGTGAGTCACTCCGGGCTGATTCACATTCGGATTCACACTCGGATTCACACTCGGATTTACACTCGGGTGATTGGTTCTTAGTTGGTTGGTTTGTTGCTGCTTCTGCAGCTGAGGTCCTGCTCTTAAGGCCCCTCTCAGCCGCTGCTCCAATGCCGACGCGCCACCTGACGCGCCTCCCACTGGCGTGACTGTAAACGCATCTGTCAGCGTGCGCTGCTGCTGGCGTGTGCTTTTATCGAACGGGCTTATACTGAATGGGTCCCCTGCTGCTCTGCCTGCTGCTGCTGGGGCTACCCCAAATCGAGCATCTACCCCTAAACCTGCTCCTGCTCCTACTCCTGCTCCTACTCCTATTCCTGCTCCTATTCCTACCCCTGCCCCTGCTCCCGCTGCTCCCGCTGCTCCTGCTGCAGCTGTCTTGGTTGCGGAATCAAGTACTCGCATAACTGAAGGGTCAACCGAATATTTCCTGGTATCTGCAAAGGAGCCTGGAGGGAACAACACGAGATCCGTCCCTGCTGCTGCTGCCCCTGCTGCTGCCCCAGCCGCCACTGCTCCCCCTGCTCCCCCTGCCCCTGCTGCTGCAGCTGCCCCTGCCGCTGCGGCTGGCACTAAAGCCCCTGAACCTTCTACTTGCATGAACCTAGTATTTCTCTCCGTGCTATCTCTCCCAACCAGAGAATCCAATTCAGGCGCCAAATCCCTCCCTCCTGCCCTATTCTGAAGCGTTTGATCACCATCAACTTGCATGCGCCCACCACCCTCACCAGAGCTGCCACTCTTTACCAGAGACGCTAGTTCTGATGCCAAGTCCCCCCCTCCTCCTAACCTATTCTGAAGCGTTTCGTTACCATCAACTTGCATGAACCTACCGCTCTCACCACTCGCAGCAGCAGCACCAGCAGCAGCAGCAACGCTGCAATCACGACTACCACCACCACCACGAATGCCACTCAAACCACCAATACCACCATCACTACCACCACCACCACTACCAGCATCACCCCTACCACCACCACTCCAGCCCTGGCCCGTCATCCCAACTACTCCAAACCTGCCCCTCTCTCCCGACCCTACAGCAAGCCTATCCTCGTTAGAAGCACCTCGTGAGAACCCTGTAATGGCCTTTTCCAGTGCCTCCATCTCTGCTGCGCGCATAGAGTCTATGCTAGCGAAGGGGAACTCTAAATCGAACTGGGACGGCTGTAGCGGCCTCTTGGACGGCTGTAGCGCCTGTTGTGCTGGCTGTGGCGGCCGTTGTGCCGGCTGTAGCGGCCGTTGTGCCGGCTGTAGCTGCTGGTTTGCCTGCTGCTGCTGACTCTGGTACCGACTCTGCTGCTGGTATAGTGGCTGCTGCTGCTCCTGCTGCGGTTGCTGGTGTTGCTGATTTTGCGGCTCCCTCTGCTGGTCCTGGCCTCGCGGCAATAGCCCTGCTCCCTGTTCCGACAGCTGCCGTCGCACCAGCCCAAGCAGAAGGGAATCCGTCACTCTGCCTCCTCCCCCCTGTTGCACTTGCTGCTGCTGCACAAGTTGCTGTTGCACTTGCTCCTGCCGTTGCATCTGCTGTTGCACTTGCTCCTGCCGCTGCATCTGATGTTGCTGCGGTGCATGCGGCCGCCCTTGCAGCGCCTCCCATAGCTGATCGTGATGCTGCTGCTGCTGCTGCTGCTGCTGCTGCTGCTGCTGCTCTAACTGTTGCTGCTCTACCTCCTGTCTCTCTTCTGTTTGCTTCGTATGCAGCGGCTGCGACAGTTGCTGCTGCTGCTGCTGTTGCTGCTGCTGCTGCTGCAGCGGATTTGACTGCGCTCTAGACACCTGCTGCTTCTGAAATCTAACCGCACTGGCCAGACGCTTAGCTAAGTCCACTGGTTTCCTGCGAGGCCCTAGCTCTAATCCCCCCGAACCACTAAGTACCATTCCCTCCTTGACACCACTACCACTGCTACCGCCGCCACCAACAGCAGCAGCAACAGTAGGGCCGGTGCTATCAGCTGAAGAGGTGATGACGGGTGAACCGATCAAGGGAGATGCAATGGCGTGAGACTCGATCAAGAGAGACGCAACGTAGGGAGGGGTTGCGGCGACAGGGGACACGGCGGCAAGAGCAGGAGAAGCAACAGAAGGAGTCGCAAGAGCGGGAGAAGCAGCAGCAGCAGCAGCAGCAGCAGCAGCAGCAGCAGCACCGCCGCCAGCACCCCCAGCAGCAGCAGCACCTGTTACCGAGACTTGCGGCGACCCTGACGACGCTCGAATCGACGGTGACGATTGCTGCTGCTGCTTGCGCTGCTGTAGGCTCGAGCTCAGCGGCGCGCTCAGCAAGTCCATGTTCCACTCCGCCGCAGCCGCTACAGCCGGCATAGCCTCTACAGCCGGCATGGGCGCTACAGCCGGCTTAGTCGCTACAGCCGGCATGGGCGCTACAGCCGGCATAGCCACTACCCCTCCTCCTTCCCACGAGCCTCCAAAACCCCCTTTGCTCCGCTTACCAACCCGACTGCTGCCGCCACCCATTCCCCCCATTCCGCCCATTCCGCCTGACCCGCCCAGCCCTCCGCCTTCAGGATCCGCGGGGGGGACCACCGGCGGAGCAACAAATCCGTCCCAGCCACGTTGTTGTGGAAACTCCTCAAGCTGCTCCAGACTCAGATCCCCCCCTCGCCCATGCGCTTGCCATTGCGCTTGCGCTTGCGCTTGCACTTGCGCTTGCCCTTGCGCTGTCCTCATCAAATCAACCTCCCCCGAGTTTGGCCCCCCCTGTTGTGGAACAGTATTCTGCTCTGTATTATGAACACCATCATGATCATAGTGCGAACCGGCTAAATCTATAGGAGTGGTAGTAACTCCGAGGGAACCATGGATCATATTGTAATCACTAATCCCTTCGCCAAGGCGCAATCCAACGGCTGCATGATCGTGAAAGTCTGGCGGACGATCCGCTAGAGGGTGATCCGTTAAAAGGTCGTCGACGTGCTCATGGTGATGTCCCATTTCGTGCTGACCGTCCAAAAAATCTCGCAGCGCGCATGGATCGAGCTGGGTTGGGATTGCATCCAAGGCGGCGTGATGTAGTAAATCTGCTGCCAGTGGTAATGAATCGGGCAATTGCCACGTGGACTCCTCGAAATGCCATGGCTGTGTCGCGTCCCTGCGCACCGTACACGATAGCAATCAAATCCGTTAAGTTCAACGAACATGGTAAGTCATACCACTACGGAAAAAAATGCGTAGAAGAAGAAGAGTGCAAAAAATTAAAGATAAAAAAAACAAACACAAACAAACAAACAAACGATGGGAGGAAGAACAAACATCGAAACTTCAGAATATTCAAACCAACACGTGGACCCACCACAGAGAATGATGATCGTCCATCAGGCTGCTGCTAAAATCGCACACAGCGGAAACTCCAAGGATCATCTCTAGTGAGGCACGCAAAGCACTCCTACTACAGCGATCTCGTGCAGCAGTTCAAAGAGAAAGGTGATGGAGAGAGAGCAAGAATTGTCGTCAACCGTGGAGGAGGAGAAATCTCAAGTCCCACTTTTCCAGTTGTCGTCGCAGCTGAGCCTCACACATCACAACAACAGACAGCGTGTACATCCGCAATCAGGGCGTGCAGTGGAGACTAGAGCACAGGCGGGAGGAGTTGCAATTACAACTGGGTCGTTGTGTCGTCGTATCCTGCTGGAATCCGTCGTGTACCTCGCTACGCTACCACACAGATTAACGATTATATTTGAGAGGACCCTGGCGAATCCACTCTTCTCTCCACAATTTTCCATTGATTTGTGAAGCTCCCATCCGAGCAGGTCAGGTCTGGGGTGTGATGCGGTGCGGTTGTGATCTGCCTGGGGAATAACGGATCCGGCAAACCCGTTTCTTACCGTTACTGTACAGTTCTGCCCCAGGGTAACTCTGGTTGAAGGATTCGCTGCTCGGGGCCGTCGACCAAGTTATCCCTGCTCTTGCTGCGTTGATTGGTGGTGTACGTTATGCACGAATGGTCCACTGGCAAGGGACGCAACGCAAATCAACTGGGACCCGGCAAATAATTTGGCCAGACTTCTCCAATGACTGTAGATGCTGAATAGTGTACAGTAAACAATACTGTACAGTATAAATAAATGTACAGTTCGTTTATCACCCCAGCAACTCTGACCTGACCAACATAAAAAACCGATCGCAAACTGACAGAACGCCAGATCACACGACAGGTTGCCGATGAAACACGTTTCCCAGTGTGGTCTGCACAGTTCATCTCAGCCATTGAAAACCTCCATCGCGCTTCAAATCTTATACAATTTTTCCCGTCCCGTTCCCCCCCAACCTACCTCATCTTTGGCTCGGGACGTTTGGAAGGCGCCAGGCAGGCGGGAGGCCAAACCCGAGCAAATAACATTTTCAAGATCATGATTAAAATAGTTATTTTCGAGGGTAATTTTAGGACATATAATGTTTTTGCGCGTTTTCTGTAAAATGTTAACGGCTTTTTGCTTTCCCAGAGCCTTCCTAAACCCGTGCCCCCGAGCCGAGCCGATGCAGTGCACGGCGAATTGCAACAGCCGTCAGCTTGCATCCTCCCAAGCCTCTCTGCATTGGTAACTCAAAAAAAAAACAAAGCAGCTTGTTGATGTGGTGTGGACAGGACATGCACCAAGCAGCCAGCTCATTGCCAGCTACGTCCCAAATAATCATTGGCTCTAGGCCGTGTTTGATAGCCGGTGGCAACATCCAGTCTGGCAACATGTCTGTGGTACAGTGTGAGGAGGGAATCTGGGAGCACCCAGCCATATCAGAACAGCGACCAAGCTAACCCTGCCCTGCAGGGTGGAGGAATGATTTTCCCCTTTCCAGAGTTTGCGGGTGTAGTGAGAACGAACTGAACTGGAAAAAGTTAGCACATGTTCGAAAGGAGGCTGCTCCTCAGCTTTGGTGTGTTCCTCTCATTTCGGATAATCGCTACGCTAACAACGGGACGAACATCGAGACACTTCACACACACTATCCATGCTTCCAACGATGCTTACGCCGCTGAGTACTCTCCATCCAGCTTTGAAGAGTAGCCAACAGTGCTGCCCGTCAATGTCGCATGTACCCCTGAAAAGTCTAGTTGGGTGCTTGGGGGACGAACTCCTTCATTGGAACGATCCTACAAAATCCCGGCTCGCGGCTAGGATCTACCTCACTTGAAGACACACCGTTTGCGCCTTTTATCCACAAAGTGAGAAACCTGTTTTATATAAAATACATGATTTAGAGCCTCCAAAGTAGGAGATTAAATTAACCTATGTTTTGGACACACTTCAAGCCCAGTAATAATTAGTATCAATAACTTGTCAACTCTAGATCCAAAAGATTGTACATTTGCAGTTTTTTACGCTACTAGTGTTTTGTTGTTCCCATTCGGAAAATCCACTATAGGGAGGTGACGTCGCTGCAATAAGGCGTTCAACATTTGTCCATTGTCTGGATGGCCAAATGTCGTTCGTAACGTAACTCATTTCGCTACAAGCAGTCGTTAGACCAAATATTAGTTACCATCGGACGACTGTTGACCATAACTATCGACAAATGTTACAAATGTTCGATCAACTGTTGGTGGGTGTCATAATGGTGAGTTGTACGAAAGAAGAGTGCGCAGAATGCAATATCGCGGAAGTGATTACAACTACTGAGCAAACAACGAGGCCTAGGCATAATATAGCAGGGCTAGCTAGGCCGAGGTCGCGGAGTCGCGAGATGGTTGGGTGCAGGTTTGGGTTGGGAAACCCGAAGGCGACGCGAGAGACGTTCGGAAGGCGAGGTCGTCGGACCGAGCCTGAACTCCGAAAAGTTGGAATTGTACGCGTACGGAGCGCCTCAGTAAGGAATTAGGAAAATTCCTTACACTACCCCCCCCTTAAGAAATGTGGTCAATATCAGGCACGCGTCGGCGGGAAAGATAATCTCGTAATACCGAGTGGCCTTGTAGTGAGTCAGCTGGGACCCACGTGTCATCTTCGCTTGTGCGATCCACTTATCGTAGGAGGAAGTCGACGTGGCGTCCAGCCGGGGTCGCACTGATGCGATGATTCAGAATCTTCCAGGGCTGCAGTGTCGGGTCTGCCACAGGCCGAACACTTGGCGCGATGTTGGGGCGGGCGATGTCGGACGGCTGCGGAGCCACGTAATGGCGAAGCAAGCTGACGTGGAAGGCGTCGTAATTTTCTAGTCGTCCGGTAGCAGAAGTTTCGCCGTGACCGGGGTCAACATCCGAATGATGCGGAAAGGTCCCACGTATCGGGGACGCAGTTTAGCAGGTTGGGGCAGTCGAAGGTTTTTCGTGTCCAGAAGGACCATTTTGCCCGTCACGGAAGGGTAAGTTCCGTCGATGTCTGTCAGCGTAGCGGCTGGCAACAGTGTTAGCCTTCCGAATAAATTCCGCTGCTTTGTCGCGAGCTGCTTGGAGTTCTGAAACGAATTGCTGCGACCGTGGTACCGGGTTGTCGGGGGTCGTTGAAGAGGGTACCACGGGGTCTATCCCGTAATTGAGGTAGAACGGTGACTGATTAGTCGTCGCAGACGGTGCGTTGTTGTACGCAAACTCGAGCATGGGGAGTGAATCTTCCCACTTGGTGATGTCGGGGCAGTTCGTGCGAATCAACTGCTCCATCGTCTGGTTTGTCCTCTCTGTCTGTCCGTCGGTTTGCGGGTGGTATGACGACGAAAACTGCAGGCGGGTTCCGTACTGTGCCCACGTTTCCTGCCAGAACTTCGACGTGAATTTCGGATCCCGATCGCTGATGATCGCCGAAGGTAACCCGTGTAGGCGTACGACGGTGGAGATGAAAAGCTTCGCTGTTTCTTCGGCTGTGATCGTCGTGCGGCATGGTGCGAAGTGCGCCATTTTCGTTGATCGGTCAACGACGACCAGTACCGAGTCGTTGCCACTTGCGCCAGCTGGCAGCCCGGTGACGTAGTCCATTGTCACATGTTGCCATGGTCGTTCGGGTGGCTCGAGGGGCTGCAGCAATCCAGCTGGTCGTTGGCGTGACGATTTCATCGCTTGGCAGGTCGGGCAGGCGGACACGTAGTGCTGCACGTCCGACGCCATGTCGGGCCAGTAGTAATTCCGCTGCAGCAACTTTAACGTTTTGTCGACGCCGAAGTGCCCGTAGAGGTTGGAGTCGTGAACCTCCTGCGTTAGCAACTCTCGTAGGGGTCGGTAGGAAGGAACCCAAACTCGGTTACTCCCATGTGCTGTAGTGACCCGTTGGTGTTGATTCGTCCTGAAGAACCGGTCAGTCATGTAGCCGTGCTTGAATAATCCTGCCAATAAAGGGTTAGAATGGGCGATTAGTACTGCTGCGGTCTGCATCGATGGGCGGGTCAGGGCGTCGGCGATGAAGTTGTCGCCCTTTTTGTACGTGATGGTGTAGCTGAAATTTGACTCGAGATAATCGAGCCACCTGATTTGTCGCGGGTTGAGCTGTGGTTGGCTGCGCATGTATTGGAGTGACTTGTGGTCTGTCCTGATCGTGACGTCGGCTCCC